TACAGTGGGAGCCATGCAATTAACAATAAATCTGAAGTATCTGATTCCTGTTAGAGTGCTATAAAAGCATTAATATGAATATCATAAAAATCCATTAATTTATGAAAAGTGACAGAGCCAAAAGCCATCTGAGGTGGGCTTCAACTAAATTGAAGTTAAATGCTATGAAACAATTACCCCAAGGCTATCAAATTTATTTTTTAACATTTCCCATGCTACAGAAAAATTAGAATCAGACACTTCAATTTCATATAAAATTCTTGTCATCTTTAAGACACCCTAACTAATAACAAAACTTGATTGAATCAATAATATTTGCCGTATTTATAATAGTATACTTAAATCTGGTACTATTATAAGAATTGAAAATTATAGACCGATTGCTATAAATTCTTCTCCTGTTAAAGTTTTTGAACAAATAACATATGTTAACATTTTTAACCATGTTAAATGTTACTTATCTATTTACCAACATGGTTTTATTATTGGAAGATTCACTACCAGAAATCTTATAAATTTTGTTCAGTATGTTTCAAGCAGTTGAGACCATAGAGTTCAGTTTGATACAATTTACACATATTTTTCTAAAGCTTTTGACAAGATTAATCACAAAATAATTTTATCTAAACTGTCTTGTTTCGGATTATCAAAACAAATGTTAAACTTAATGAGTTCATATTTAACAAATACAGAGCAATAAGTTAAATTTCATCTACACAAATCTTACGTTTATAAAACCGATTCTGGAGTGCCTCGAAGTTCGAATCTTGGGCTTTAGATATTTATAATTTATATTAATGATTTGCCTAATGTAATTTAAAATTCAAAATGTTTACTGTTTGCTGATGATTTGAAAATTGATGTTAATTGAAAATGAAAATGATTCATATAAATTGCAAGCTGATATTAGTAATGTCTACAGATGAAGCATGGAGAATGATTTGTACTTTAATATTTAACTAGTGGTGCCACACAACGGCGCAGACTTTCCCGAATTTGTTTTCTATTTCCTTTGTTCTCGGCTAGCTAATCAAACTTGTCACATATTCTTGCCTACTGCCACCTATCGCCGCCCCAAATACAATTTTTTGACATTTTCTTAATTTTTCGATTTCCTAATTGTAGAGCGGCAATATTATTTTAAGATTATTAAATGACAGTAAAACCTCGTCATAAATGGTAAATTTCTTTGCAAAATATGGAACCGTTTTTCAAAAACTGGCGTATAAGTGCTACTGTAATTTCAAAATTTGAAGCTCTTTTTCACAGGAAAATTTTTGTTTTCGAAAAACTTGATTAAAAGTCACTTTAAGTACTTTAACTCACAAATACAATAGTGTTTACAAATTGTTGGAAATGTGCATATCTACGGCGTAAGAGATCTTACACAAAATTTACATTTGTGTAATTTTTGAAAATAAAAAAAAAATACGCCGAAATTAACTTAACGTCATATCAAAGAGCGCAATTACCACTATCCGTTCGAAATGCTTGAAGAAAAAAATTAGAGCCGTGTTTGAGAAAATGGTGTTTGAGCGTTTCTAAAAATGCGGAGTTTTGAGCTAGTTTGAGTAGAGTTTTCGAGAAAATACATGACATTATTTAAAGCACATGTACTCATAAATACAATAATGTGAACAAATTGCCGCTAATATAAATATTAACGACATGAGAGGCAAGTCAAAAAATTACACTTTTGTAATTTTTGAAAAAACAAAATAATAGAGCAATATGGCGTTTATGTCAACTTATAAAGTACATTTAGCACCATCTCTATCAAACGTTTAAAGAAAAAGTTTAGGGCCATTTTTGAGAAACTCTTGTTTTTGTAATTGTTTAAAATTGCACATATTGCACGAAAACAACTAAATTTTTCAAAAAAAATGTATGTGACCTTTATGAAAGAACTCACTATGGAGAATTTTGAAATTTTCGAAAATTCAGAATTAACCGTGAAAATCGGACCTATGCCACTTTTATAAGTATGTGTTACTCTATAAAAACAAAAAAAATGACGTTTATGTCATCTTATAAAGTATATTTAGCACTATCCCTACCAAATGTTTAAAGAAAAACATTAGAGTCTTTTTTGAGAAAATCTTGTTTTGTAATTGTTTTAAAATTACACACATTGCATGCAGTATTGCGCGAAAACTAGTAAAATTTTCAAAAAAAAGTACCTGACCATAAAAGTACTTACTATGGAGAACAAATTGTATTTGAAGGAAAAATCTCTATTTTGTGTTTGAAGTTGTAGGAAAACACCGAAAAAATCATAGTTTTGAAATTTTCGAAAATTTAGAGTTAACCGTGAAAAACGGATCTATGCGACGTTTATAGTGCATGTCACTTTAAATTAAAAAAATTAGAGCCGTTTTTGAGAAAATTTTGAAAATGTCAGTGATGCTTCATGTAAAGTACCGCTAAATTTTAAAGAATGTTTTTCAAAATCTCCAAGTTTCGACTTGAGCCAGATGGACAGCAGTTTCTTCAATTTGAAAAAAGAAACTTACGCATGGTTTAAGCGCTAGTTGTGTTCACAGACACCTGATTGACGGACATTTTGAAAACAAAAACAACACTTTCTCGGTATTAGGGGACCCCAAAACGGTTATTTCCGTGGAAATGTCGAATTCAATTTTCCGCATTACATAACTTTCCTTATACATCGTAATTGCTCCTTACCTATACGGGAAAGTAAACATGTTTCTTCATTACTTATACAAGAAATAAAGCACATCTAGAAACAAGTTACTCAATGAATAATGAATCTATAAAACGTGTGTATTTTGTAAATGACTTAGGGCCGGTTTCACCAAACAAAGAGTAAGAGTTTACTCTGGAGAAATCCATGTTTACTCGAGAGTAACTTTTGGGAGCGTTTCACCAACACTTTACTCGAGTTTGTAAATCGGCATTACACGAGAAGTAAATTCGAGGAGTAAACTTTATACCGCAAAAATCCGTCGGGTAAAGTCGGAGTAAATTCAGTTTTCAACGTGGCATGTAACTCCGCAAGTGTTGGTTACGGTTTCGACGATTACAATCATGGTATTTGGAAGACGATTCCAGCAATGATTCGGAATATGTATCCACTAGTGCCGAAGACAAAGGCGTGCGAGAGAGAGAATGGGTTGGTTTTAATTATTGACGATCGAGATTTTGTATGAGGTTATGTTTTGACCAAATCAGCGTTTAATCAATCAGATACATTGTAAAACTGAGAGAGAAACTTCTAAAGTTTATTTTTGTTTCCATTGTGGATACGAAATAAAGGTAGACGTACGAATACGGACAACAAAAGGGAAACATAATCAACTACAGAACTACAAGTACTAAGAAATATTTATTTCTTTTATTCAGTAAAAACTGTATTGTGACGAATGGGGGAGTCATTTGCCGCACGTTTTCTGACTTCCAGAATCCCTTTCCAACATTTTAAACTACCAAATAGTTGAAATTATGAATTGAAGTTTTAAAAATAAACAACATATAATAATTAAAATTTATAAAACACAGAGATCAGCAACATTTGAAAAAAACTAAACATTTTTTTCTTTCCGAGTTATAGTAAAATTCATTTGCCATCGGTAACTGAACTGCAAGGCGGCTAGGTTTTTCTGCATTGCTAACAAATAGTAACTCGTCTCGGATAAGAATGAATATTTATTTAAGAAATAAAAGATGCAGAAACTAGGAAATAAACTATTGCTAACTCAACCATTTCATAAACACCACACCAGAATTGATAACGCCAAGAACTCCGAAACTGAATAATGATAGAATATAAGGAATTAATGAAAAGGTTTACGGTTTGGTCCGCGTTGGTTCCCCAGCGTCATTCTCCGCTCACAGCCTCGTTGGACGCTCCAAATATTGTGTGTTCAGCTGATTTGCGGAGTAAATCGGAGAGTATGGACTCATAGTAAATAACCCTGGTGAAACCGCTTCATATTCTACTCGAGAGTTTTACCAGGAGTATATCTTGGAGTAAATAGTTACTCTCGGGTAACTACTCTCAACTTTACTCGGCTGTTGGTGAAACCGGCCCTTAGGTGTTACTATTCAACATAATTTGACTTACCATCAACATTAATATAACAAATTAAATGATTAAATAACATTACAAAATCTTGGCTTTGTTATTCGAAATTTCAAAAATTTCAGTGACACCTCAAGTATAATTCTCCTCTTTAATTGTTTTTTGCGCGCCAAATTGGAATACGCTTCAGTTATTTGGTCTCCTTATTGCATATCACTAAGTAATCATTATGAAAAAATTCAAAAACGATTCTTGAGGTATTGGTATTACACAAAGCTGAAGCAATCTGCTTATGAAATTTCTTATAATATTTTAGTTAAAGAATTCAATATAACTACTCTTGCCAATAGAAGACTCTTTACTGAGCAATTGTTTTAATTTAAAGTTGTCAATAGTCTACCAGATAACAGTAATAAAAAAGATGTGTTTTGTTTTGAACTTGAAAAGTTGGAGATAAATAAGAATTGCATTAAATCGGATATGTGTAAACGTCAATAGTTGTCTTAATAATGTAATGTGTGTGCAATTCATAATAATGTAATGATGCAATGTCTGTAATACCAGATTATTCTTCTGAACCTATGTTGTATGTTCTATAATATTATATAAAATTGTTTTCAGGATATATTTTATGAATACTATAAACTAACATGTTTGTTTTTTTCAATTGCCAATCGATTATTCCCAACCCTATTTTTTGCTTTAAAATAGCTGAATACGTAATATTTCGCAGGTTAAATCACAGTATATTTTAAATCAACATTGGAAGTAAAATAGTAGATTGTTCCGTGTTCCTAAGTCTGCTGCTTCAACTTTCAAGAAGTATCCATTCTGGCCACAGAGTGCAGTGTTGTTGATTTAACTTCTGTACCTTATTGTAGATGGTGCCACACGAGTTTCCCCTCCTATTCAATTGTCCTCCATGCTCTCTGTATTAGCGGGAAAAATATTTATGCCATGGAATTTCCAAGATGGCAGTGGTCGGCATGCAACTTGAAGAATGTAGTGTTTGTGTATTCTGGGATGATGTATGAATTGTCACATGCATATTTTACATATTATTGCTGGTAATCAGAGGTAGAAATGTTAGGCACAATGAATGGTTTGATTGTTACGATTTATCTCAAAACTTGTCATTGACTGTTGTCATCACACTCGTGACATTCAGCGCAAAGCAGCTAAGAGCGTTGAACATCCGACGAAGTTCAATGTGCGTAATGAGCGAGCACCGTGAAACAGTGTCGTGTGGACTATATGTTAGATTAATATACCATAAGTTTTGATAGAGTGAATTTTATATGAACTGTCATTATATTTTCAGAAGATTTAATTTGCTGTGCTATTGGTGTAGTATCGTTGTGAGACCGTTCCATGCACATAGTGAAAACTTAATTATTTTTTACTTGGGGATAATATCAAGATCACAAGATGCCATTACTCCGTCATGCTCCATTCCGTAGGAAGAAGGTTTCCAAAAACATCAATGAGAATACACCGTTATACTATTTAGAAGTGACAGGAGAGGTGTTTACTGAATATGAGTGAGTATAAAGTTTTGGTATATGAAAGTGTGTTTCTGATAACTTCTTAATTTGAGTTTCTAAGGTGCAAGTTCTTATGATTTCCTGTGCATTGCTTCTTTTAAGATTATTTGTTACTAGATCTTCTAGAAATATTAAATGTATAAGTTATGTATTGTGTTCTCATCAATATATTGATGTAAAGAAAGGGCTTCTAATATTCATTAAGTTTTGCTTCTTAATTTCTTCTTGTTTATAAAAGGAAAAACCCTTTGTCACATTATATATCATTTATTGATAGACTTTTCTTTCCCAACATTTTGGGATCCTCCTTTTTCCATGTTCATTTGTCGAAGTCCTTGTTGCAATGTGACATGTAAGAGGAACAATGGTTATCAATAAGATGCTCAAGTTAATTAAGAGTGAAATCAGACCTCGACATGACATAGTGTAGAACAATGGAAGACAATGCTTATTACTGAACAGTAATATTATTTGGAAGAAGTGTTGCCTGATGATGAGAAAAGGAGTATCTCGAAACATGAAAGAAAAGTTTTTATCAATAAATGATATAATCTGAAAGGCTTGTTTCTTTTATAAAGAATGTTAGGCTGTCTATGAAAACCAAATATAGGCCATATTATAATGTAACAGTCAATGTAGTTAGAATTAGTGGGATAGGTTAGAGTGCAGAGATGGTGTAGTCTTAGAATCTCATATTTTGGGTGAACATGGGAAAGAAATACTAAAGTAATCAAATGTACAGAACATCTGTTTTTTACTTTTTAATTACAGTTTTTCTAATTTTATTATACTTAAAAATTTAACACTTGAGGTATCCTTTTGAGGCTATTAATGTATTAATGCTGAAAAAACGTTTTCTTTTGCATATAATAATGGATCAGGCGTTTTGTGTAATATTTATATGCATCATCAGTGTGAACAAAAAGGTAATATATTGGTAATTAAATATTAACAAGTGACATAAATATATTAATGTTTTGGGTAATGAAAACAAATTTTGATAAATGTTTCAAATGAAACTATATAACAAACCTAAGTAAAAGTATAGAATAAAACAAAAAAGTATGTAGAAACTACCAAATATGTATAAATAAATAAGAGTACTTCAATTCATTTATACATAACAAGAACCAAAACAGTAAAAGTAAACAAAATTTTTGAAAAATCTAAAGGTTACATAAAAAAATGCAAATAAGGAAAAAAGCATTTCCATTGCAAATACATACATTCTTGCTGCAAGGAGGAGGCGGTGGCAAGTATACTGAGAGGGAGCAGATTAACAAAAAAATTGTCGTTATAATTTGAAAAAACAATGGTAAAATCAAATAAAAACACCAGGAATAATCAGAAGTTGAAGGGGAGAGATACTATTTTGCTTTTAATGGAATTGAAAAAAAGTTGTTCATAATCTTGAGTTCTGCTTCTAATTTATTGATCACATTGTGGTTTAATGATTAGCACTATACATTATTTAATTTTTATTAATACAGTATATCATATGTTTTGGGGTATATATTTGTTAAAATTTCTATTTTACTTGTTTTTTTGTTGTAACTTGACAAATATCGTTACTCATTATACTTTTTCTTGCAACGCTTATGTTTTTGTCATAATCTAGATATTCCCTCTATGTTAGTTTCCATTGATATGTTTCTTATACTTTTGTTTTCTTAGCTCATATTTAAATTATCAACCCTATCAATACTAATTACGTGAATTCTTGAAGAAAATGTATGTTTTCTTTGTGTTATTTAGTTTTGACTTAAGTAAAATATTTCAAATATTCTAATGCATAGTATACCATTGTGAAGATACCATGTGGATTTTTCTAATACTTTAAAATGTGCTCTGACTCACCAATTGTAAAATTTACATCTTTTGGGCAATTTCTTATTTTTATTTTTTCAGGGAGTATTGCTATAGGACAATCCAGTGTAATTCATTAGTCTGGACTTGTGCTGAGACAGGCAGGACTGAGCTTACTTTTGCTGAAGCATTGGAAAGTGAGAGGGATGCTAAACGAATATTAGCATGTTTTCCTGAAGAGGTTAGTTCTAACTATTCTCATTTTTCTTTTAATTTCTAAATGTAATTTTATTTGTCATTGGAATATATCTATGGATTTCAGTTGAAGTTGCCCGCTTTATATTTGGCTTCAATTGCACAATGCCCAGATTTTCAAGAACTAGTGACGGATGTCTATAATTTTATGGAAGTTCATTACTTTGTTAATGAACTAGTGGTACCTACAATAAAGTGTAAGTGGTAAGTATCACTCTAAAGTTCTTCTTTGGAATCAAGTGCCCTTCAAACTTGAATTTTCAATTATTTATTTATGTATTTTTTGATGTTTCATAGGAAACGGGGTAAAGTTCTTAAAGTAAGTAACCCTCAAGGTGCCAGTCTGCAAAGAAGTAAGAAGTAAGTGATAATGTCAATATTTTATCTAATGTTTAACTAATTTTATCAATTGTTCAAGTTCAATTTTGTGAACCGGACTATTTAACCAATTTACGTAATACAGGTATGATAGTTTATTGCTTTCTTCCTGTCTGTCTATGCCTTCTGTCTTCAATCTTATCAGATTTTATCTCCCTCCAGTCAGAAACCAGCTTGTTCAAGAGGTTTCTGGTTTAATGGTTAGCCCAATTTAATTTTTATTAATGTATCATATGTTGTGGGGTATATCTAAGTGGCAGTTAAATGCATAATTTACAAATATTTAGTACATAAAATAACAATGAATAAAAAAAAACAAAATATTATTAATAAAAAGTTTAATACAACATTGTTTGAGCTGTATATGCCAACATAATTATGATTTTATCTTCAATTCAAGATGAAAATACTATTTCTATTATATGTATATATCGCACTATTTCAATTGTGTAAGATAATGCACACTTTTCCTGCATTTCTTTTTCACATTTTTATGCTTCACATCATTAAAATTATATTTTTAAGAAAAATCAGAGAACTAGCAGTAAGTCATTTTTCGTGATTCTTGTCGTATTTAAAGTTTCTTTAATTTTTAGATATTTATTTACACGTCATTTATTTTGGTCTTGCCTGCTTAAAATAGTTACGCACATGCTGCTGGCACTGCTGTGTATATTCACTGGAATATTTGCTGGTAAATTATTCCTCCCTCCTGCCCCCTTTGCTGGTAAATCATATGCTCTACAATGGTCCAATTTACAGTGCTGTAATTTCCATTGTTTCTTCTTTGTTTTCTGCACTTCTGGTCATTCCATTTTAGGTGGCACAGCATTTCATGTTCAATTGTGATAACTTTCCATGTTGGTTACTATCAATATTGAATTAGATTTAATTTCTTTATTTTTTACTTTCTTTTTTTATTCATGAATAGACCGACTTTTCATCAGGGTATCAGCATTTGAGCTGGATCTGATTTTTATCCCATAGTGTTGTTAGTCCTGGGGGTGCGGTAGATGAAATGATAATAGTGAGGGGTGAGAGCATGAAACACACACCCAAACAAATACACCATGCCGCAAATACTAGTGCCTTAACAATCTCTGCCATCTGAATGGCTATTGTTATTGTTGTTATTATTATTATATTAATAATATTATTGGGACTAATATTGACATGATTTTAATACCATCATCACTCGTAGACTAAGGAATAATGTGAACCCCAAGCCACCTCACTCCTCACACACCACCGCCACCGCAACACCCACCACCACCGCCACCGCAACACCCACCACCA